AGAATAATCATCAGGGTCCACCTTCACTTTGTCTTAAGTTCACCAAAAGATCAGAAGAGCCTTGAGGCTAGAGCAGGTGAACCCCAGAGGCATCCAGGAAGCCCTCTTTCATTGTGGATTCCCAGCAGCTGGTATTTAAGGGAGGTCACTTGTGATTCGGGAGGAAGGAGCCATCAAAGACACGAACCACGGACAGTCTCATTTTCCATGACTGGGTTCAATCCCATTTGAAAAGCATTTCAACCAGTGGCCAGCCCCCTACCCCATGGTGGCAGCATCACCATGTGAAACTCTTGCCACAGACTAACATGTACTAACCTTAGCCCTAGCCCAACTGGGTCCCAGCATGCCAAAAAAAAAAGGAAAGGAAAGGAAAGGAAAGGAAAGGAAAGGAAAGGAAAGGAAAGGAAAGGAAAGGAAAGGAAAGGAAAGGAAGTAAAACTCCTCCTACTCCTTTATAAGCCTCAACCTCATCTCCCATCTTTCTTTTCTTAACTAAATGCCTCAGACACTGGCCTCTCTATGAATGCTAATATGAGGAGTTCACCTAAGGCAGGCCTCAACCTCAGAACCTATTTTGGCATATAGACAGAAATAATGGACAGATGTTCAGGATTCAACTGATTTATTTTCCCCTGGGCGAGTCAACAAAGTCACCAGCAGCACACGGTCTGGAACAACGTGGTCAGTCATACCTGGAGATCTTTTTAGTCCTCCCAGCTGTGGCAAAGGAGTTGTAGCAAGAAGTTTGTCTTTTACAGATGTTTTCAAAGAAATGTCCCACTAGAAATGGCAACAATTGTCATGGGCTGATAGAGGTTGGAGCCATCACAGAGAAAGTCCTGGTGGCTCTCCATCCCTTTCTGCTCTTTCACTCCTACACGTGGCTGCAGAAAACTCAAAAGACAACAGAGGCCAAGTTCCTAGAGGACCCCTAACTTCATGGACCTCTCTAGGATTTTATTTTTGTTTGGGAAGGGGCAATCCAACTACTAGGGAGAACAATTTTAGCCCCTAAAAGGGGCAGTTGTTGGAGGCTAAATCCTACTCCATCCTGGTTAGTGGTCTGGATCTGTGGTCTGAGTTAGGGTGCTTGCACAACACACTGAGCCCTTCTCCTCCCGTGACCCATTATACATGTTGTGCGAACACTCTAACTCGGTCTTGAATCCCTGTCCCTTTTCCTTGTTGATGTGTAACTCTACTCAGGGCTCCCGGAGTGGAGACAATGGGAAAGTTTTGCTGGGTATGTCCTGTAGGCCAGACAAAACCTTTGTGCCTGGTATTACAAGCAAGGATTCAGATAAGATGAGGAACACAAGACCCGGCCGCCCTCCCGTCTCACCGGCCACTGAGAAACAGCTCTTGCTAAGCCTCCCTGAGGACTTCCAGAAGAGCCTCCTGCTTTTCAAAACCACTTCGTGCTATTAATCTAAAGGCCAGAGAAAGCTGGAACCAACAGGTGCAAATCTGCTTCCTTCGCTTTGCATCTGCAGTGCAAGTTTAGCAAGAGGAGGGCCTTGGGGTCCCACTTCCAGTGGCCTGCGTGGTGTTTCTTGCTCAAGTCCACTGGCAAAAAATAAGAGCCACTGTTCATTTCCTGGCAATTTTTTCAGCTATTTTTTTCCCCTCCCCTCCCTAAATTAAGCCATACTAATTATTTTCAGACTGCTTTATCTCTGCTTTGCAACACTCTGCAAAGAGGCGGGCGGTGAACACTTTCAGCCGCCATAAACAAAGGAACGGTTTGGAAAACAATTCTATCAATTAATCAAATTAATCCTGCCGTTTTCGTTACAAGCCCCAAGTGGCCGGATTCGAGCCCACAGTTAGGAGCTATCTCTCGCTGAGAGCGTTTAAATGGTTCGATTGCAATAATAATGAAATAATATCCCACTTGTGCGACTCGGCTTTGCTGCTCTCTCTCTGAATCTCAGGGATGTGCCTGCAAAGGTCACTTTGAGGGCAAAAAGAGGGGACGGCGATTGTCCTGAGAGGCTCTGCCTTTACCGGGGGCCCCACTACACAATTTTAGAAACTGCCTGCATTCCCAAAGGCGGCAGAAGGCTCCCACCTGCGGCCGAGTTGATGCCGAAAAAAGGGATATCCAGGGGCAGATTGGAGAGCCACGGGGCCATATCTGCAGAGTTTTCTTTTCCCCAGGCTGGCATCTCTCTCTTCAAGAGGCTGTGCTCGCCAAGGCCAGCCCTCTGTCTGACAAAGTAGAAGGAGGCCTCCTTGCAAGGTTCTTTTTGTAATGGCTGGTTCAGTCGTAGCCAAAATGGAAAATGGGAGCTTCCAGAGCAAGTCCCAACCCGCCCGCATCCCAGGTTTAGCTTCAGGTCATTGAACAGAGAGGTGGGCGGTTTAGTTTTCTTTTTTTAATAAATGTTTGTCAGTTATGGGTTTGCCTTGTCAGAGATGTGCAAAGAGAACGGACTGAGATTTGCTTCTCGTTGCTTTTCTCCCTAGATTTATGGATGCTTACCACAGCTCCCGATGGCCTCTGAAAAGCTGGGCAGCCCTAGGTACAGATTCGCTCTGAACGTCTCTCTTATTACTTGGCTGTGCTGCCACAGCACCCAGTAGCCATGAGTTTCAGAAGTGAATGAGCCTGTTCACAAAGGAGCCCCACCACTGAGTGCAGAGCCTCAGAAGCCTCAATTGAAAACCCTGGAGCGGACCAGCAGTGTGGGGAGGGTGGCCTGGTCATTGTAGAGTTGTAGAGGTAGAGTAGAATAGAGTAAGTCATTGTAGAGTTGTAGAGTAAGTCATTGTAGAGTTGCAAAGGTAGAGTAAGTCATTGTAGAGTTGTAGAGGTAGAGTAGAGTAGAGTAAGCCATTGTAGAGTTGTAAAGTAGAGGTAGAGTAATTCATTGTAGAGTTGTAGAGTAGAGGTAGAGTTGCAGCAGTGCTTCCCTCTCATTAACAACAGCAGGAGGAAAATGAATTCTGCCCCTTAGGTTGGCATTGCACCTCCCAATTTGGGCAGTAATGCCTCCCCCCGGCTCCCTGGGAGTCAGCAGGCAAGGCTGAAGAGATCCCCCTGCTAACTGAAAGTGGGGACCTTAGATCAGATCTCCGTTTGGCAAACCCCTCTCTACTATTGGAAGAGAGATCTGGACTTTCCTAGGACCCCAGGGACGGTCAGCTTGCAGCCTCCCTTTGATGCAGGGGTATACGTAGGGTATGGTCAAAATAGTCAACAAGGTGGTCACAATGGTGCAATCAAAAGTCTGTTTTTATGTGTGTCGCACGTGTACTTATAAAAACTGGCAAAGCTTTGATTGCACCGTTGAAGCTACCATCTTGACTGTTTTGACCATATCCTGTGGACGCCTGTTTTGATGTGTTTTGACTTGGCTTATCTCCTGATCATCAGTGGAGACCAATTTCCCAGGCAGCTGATAAGCTCTTCCTGCCAGCTGTTTGATCCCCCAATGCTCTCCAAAACGTGAAGGACAGGTAACACGCAGGCTGTCTGAAAACAATTACTTTCATAAACAACTGGAAACCCTTTATGGACTTTTTGCTGAAAATGGATAAAAATGGACTGGTGATTTTGGGATTTATTGATTAAAAAAGGAAGAGGGGAACCATAATATGCAGTTTGGAAGGGTGGAGATGACAATTACTGTGTTTGTAACTGCTGCAAAGAAGATCGGCAGTCGCTTCTTTAGATATTTTTTTGTTACCTTTCACTTTTTCTTTTACTCTTTTCTTTTTTCTTTCTTTTCCTACTTTTTAAACGTTTCTGTCGTTTTTTACGTCTTCTTATAAGAAAAATTACTTAAAAAAAAGAAAAAGAAAAACGCCACGTAGACTGGCAAGTTTCTGGGAAAATATTGGACTATATTTGAGAGGATAAATCTCAGCCCCGTTTTACAGTACCGTCTTGTATGCTCATCCCTTGTTTTATTTGACAATATTAAAAGGGCCCAAACGGCACCCCACCAACATTATAAAAACAGTCCAAAAGATCACTTTCCTCTGCTTTCTGACAAATATCAAAATAAAAACTTTTAACATAATGCATTGCACCCAAATATATAATCAAACTATTTTTTTAAAACAGTGAACTGTAAAGGTAGATATTAACAAGATAAAGTCACTTAATTCCTTTAAAAAAACCTTAAAAACAAACATTACTTAGTCTGCAAGACGTATGCAAAGTATTCTGAGTGCGAACCCAGAACCACTTCAGTGCACTGCTCTGCTCCCCCCCCCACGGAGGTCACAGGAACAGTCCAGACCCTCCAAATCTGCCCGAGCACCGAATCTCAGGACGAAACCTTTATCAAACACGCTGCAGAGTTTGAGCACTGCAGGGCAATGTTCGCCACGCAGCCTGGCACCCCGCGGGTCAGGTTATAAAGGCAGCTGTTCCTCTTTTGCTTCTGTTTGTGTGTCTGTGTGCATGTGTGTGTTCCTGTTAGAATTCACATTACAATAAAAATAGCACCACTTAACTGCATAGTGTAAAGCCATACCAAGATTAGCGACTACCTCAATACAGAAAGCCTTTAAACATTATTATGTCTGGGTTTCTTAAACATCTTTTTCAGAGAAATCATGAGTATGCGGATGGAGTGGTGTTGGCACAGTTTTCTCACTGGAAAATATTAAAACAATATTTTAAAAATATTAAACTATGTCATACATCTTCAAGGTGCAGTTTAGCTAGATGAAAGGGCGCACACCCATTTCTCTTCTAAAAACAACGTCTCAGCAACATCTACACAGTGGTCCAAGAGAGGCGAAGAATTTCAGAGAGTCTCTTGGATGAACAAATTCATCCTTAACGCAACGTTCTGGGGAAGGGTGGTCTGTCAAAGCTGTGGCCTGCTTATTTTATACCTTTTTAAAAAAGTGTCTTCTCTAAGGCTGGTTCCCGATTAAATGAGATCATTCAGGGTTATTTGTGCAAAATCTTCAGGAGGAGGGGAAAATGCTTTCTACAGTGTACTGCACCTTGTGAATAAGACGTCTCTGGTATGAAGTTCATGTCTTCAGCTTCTTTATACAAAGATCACAGAGAGCCAGCCTGAAAGGGGGCTGGGATTTGCAAGCAACCCTTACAACCTCAGTACTCCTCCAATAAAACATTTCCTCTTGACATTTTGCTCTGCCCAAAGCGATTACCGTTTTAGTTCGTGAGAATGATCGGCACCATCAAAGTTCTAGCGTTTGCATGATAAATCGGGGGAATTAAAGTAGATTAGTGAGACACGAAGCAAACTATCTGAGAGTCTGCAGTGCAAGTTCATTTAAGCTAGACAGAGAAACTGAGCTACACAAATGAATGTAATGCTTTGATAATTTCTCTCCCCCCCCCCATAAACCCCATGAAAGCAGCGAAGGATCACCGTAAGTCACCCATAAATTACTCAGAAGTATCTCGTCTTAAAGGAATTTTAAAGCTAGTTAATTTCTGTCCAAACAGTTGGTTTAGGAGGTGGGTTTGGGATTCCGCTGTCCTGTAACTGTGGGAACTGGGGAGTTTAGCACCTTGGACAGCTCTGCGCCGGCTCAGAGAGCTGGGCAGGGAGGCGGAGGGGTCTTTGGCTAAGAGGGGGTGGAAGGCTTTGCTGCCCAAGATCTCCTTCTTGCGTCTCATCTCTCCATTGGCGTGGCAGATCTCAACCTTCTTCTGGAAGCCCTGATCAAGCACCAACTTTCTGAGCTGGCTGTCAGTCACAGACACCTTCAATTTAGGGGTCAGTTTGTTGGAATGAGTGTCCCTCCTTCGAGGGGAAAGGGCCAATGCCTCAGTAGCGGGCCAGTCAACCCTTTTGATATTGTCACCCTTTGCAGAATCCTGGATCCGGGCTTTCTGCTTTTTGCTTCCATCTCCCTCAATGTTCTCACGGGAGGCCGAGCTTCCCCGGTGGGAAGACTTATGTTCCTTGGGTTTTTTGGAGTGAAGATTGGCCAGCCGATTCGCAGCCAGTCTTTCTGGGAACTTGTTCAGATCAGAATGGCTGTTCTTTGATGGAGTGCTCACCACCTCCCCTTGGAGCTGGCCACTCACAGGCCTGACCAGGTTGAGTTCCGTCTCTTTCATGCCAACATTGGAGCTATTATCTTTGGGGTGAGCACCAGTATCCATTTCTGAGAAGGCTTTGTCTTTCAAGAGGGAATACTTCTGAACCTCTTCTGCACTGCCTGGGGAGCAGTGGACGCCAGGGGTATTCTCAGCATTGGCCGGGCCACCTGTGACCTTCTTTGAGGGAATCTCCTTGGCAGGCCGGTTTAGGGCAGAGGACGATGTCTTGTCCTTGAGAGGTAACTCATGGAAGATAGTTTCTGGCAAATGTAACTTGCTCACAGTATCCTGAGGAGCAGTTCCATTCATTTCAGGGTTGCTGCCCCACTGTATTTCAGGAGACCACTTACCCTCTGTAGACCCCAGACTTCCAGGAGAAAGCTCGGGCTCCTTGCTGGCAAGATCTTCTAAATATGGTCTCTCCCAAGTTCCTATATTATGTTCTACCCTTCTGCTAAGTGTGGCTTTTTCTGGAATGCTGGGTTCCTTGTTGTGCTTCTCAGAGAGATGAGCTGGAGACCGCTTTTCTTGTGCAGCAGTTGTTTTCTTGGGTGCTATGCTGGCCAGATCAACGCTAAGTGCATCAGGTGAGTTGAAGGGAAGAGCTGGGTTGTCCCCAAGGCTCTCCCCATGTGCCCGTGTTTCTGGAGAAAGTGCAGCAATATGTTCTGGGCCACTTGGTTCATCATGGGGCTCAAAAGGAAGGGATGGTAGTAGGCGGTGAAGTGGAGATTTCCCCCTTTCTGCCAAGAGACTGGAGAAATCACTTCCTAGGCCTTCTGTTTTCATAGGGGTCTGGGCTGAAGGTGGCATGGCCAGGCTAGTGGCTGTGGACAGAACCTCACCAGCAGATAGCAGAGGCTGACCACCTTCTTGGGATGCTCGGGCACCATCCAAGTGCACAGGCAAAGCTAGTTCAGGAGAGTTGCTGCGGTGGGACACTTTCTTCTTTTTGGCTGCTGGAGCATCTGCTCTTACATGGGCCTCCTCTCTGATTTCCTTATCCCCATATTTTGCAAAGGTGCCTGGCCGCATCACGCCTCGGAACCGGAAGGTCTTGCTACTGCCCACCAGGTGCTTCTCCATGTGCCTGTCATACTGCTCCTTTTTGGAGAAGGTGTAGTTGCAAGTGCTGCATATGAAAGACTTCTTGATGACATGCATGACATCGGCACAAAGCTCACAGGCGTAGAGGGTGGTGTGCTTGATGTCTGTTTCCTCAGCTATTCCATGCTCTTGGCTCAAGTGGCTCCGGAGCTCCTTGGTCTCTTGATAGAACATGGGGCACTTGTGGCACAAGAAGATCTTCTGCAGGCTGTGGACTACGAGGTGTCGCTGGAGCTTGAAGGGCTTGGGGAACTGCTTCCCACAGTGATGGCAGTCTCGAGAGGGATCTTTGCATTCAGGATGAATAGGCACGGACTTCTGGGCCCCCTCAACCTTAGGGACTGGGTCAGGAGATGGAACTGCTGGTACTTTGAGGGAGGCCACAGGTGGCCTGATTCTGAATGGGACCTCCAGCAAGTCTTTGTGGAGCACTGTGTCTTGCCCTGAGAACTCTCTGGGACATTTGCTCTCACTGCCAGCAGGTGCCCCGCTTCCCCCTTCGGGCTGCTTGGGAAACTTGCCAGGTTTCCGGCAAATGATGGAGTTCAGGAAATGAGTGACAGCAGCATCGTCTTCACTGAAACAACCTGGCAGGCCCAAGACTGACTTCTGAGCCTGGCCTTTGCGGGCAAACTGAGTGGCGTGCTCTCGTAAATGTTCGTTGTACATCCAGACATCTGAGATTTCCTTCAGGCACATCCCACAGGCCCAAAGGCCAGCCTTGTTCTTGGCGTGTTTCTCCTTTAGATGGTCCCTCAGCTGTTCCCTTGAGCTGAACTTCCTCTGGACGCACATGTAGCAAGTTGGCGGTGGGGAGGGATTATGGGTGAGCTTGTGAAAGTCCAGCTCCCCTAAAGTCAGGAACCACTGGAAACACACTTTGCATTTATACTGCTTGTCTTTATTCTTGAGATTCAAATCACTACGGATTTTCCCTGGTTTCCCTTCTTCCGGCTTATGTTTGATGGGCCTGACTTGCAACAGTGACGCAGGCTTGAAACCTAAGGTGCAGTTATCATCTGTGGGACTCAGACGACCTTCTCCAGTGCTGCAGAAACACACATCCCTGGCCTCAAACTTCATGTTCAGCATCTCCATATCAATTGTATGAAATGCAGAGGACGATTTTTCTTTGGTGCTGTCGGATTCTTCCTCCAGGTCAGGAGGTTCTGGGCTGTCTTCCACTGCTGGATGTCCATAAGCAAGCTCCACAGATGAACTCTGCAATGACCCATCAGCAGAATTATTTTCTGTGGTTTTCTCAGGGTTAGCCCAGATTTTAAAGCACGGAAGAGACCCAGTTGGACTCTTTGGGCATAGAAAGGCGCTGCTGTTTTTCAAATCATTAACTCCTTCCTTTTGCCCAGTATCCAGCTGCAGGACTGTGTTTTCGGTAGGTCCGGAATTAAGGTCGCCACTCATTGCTTTACTCCCATGACACATGTTGAGCATCAAAGCATCATCAATGGAGATTGTGTCGTATTCACAAGGATCTTCCCGGGTAACACAGAAGGAGCTGGTTTCGCCAAGATCAGAAGCCATGCGGATCGTAAAGATATCTGGTGTACCTTCTGGCTTTGCCATGATCTCTGCAATAGGCTTAGGCTTCTTGGAGCGCTTCCCGTACACACGTGTGCATTTTCTACGGGCAAAGTGATCATTTCTGGGGAAAAGTTGTGAAAACGTGGAGTCATCATCAAACAAGCTCGGCAGATCTGGTTTTACTGCATTATCAACAGGAGACTCACTCTGTGGCTGCAGCTCTTCCATCCTCCAGGGCTCTGGATTCACAAAATAAGGAACAACAGCACCCAATGCTTTCTCAGATGTGAGTTTAGGGGAACCCTTTTCAGAAGCGGTTCCAGGATGACAGGGTTGTGAAAGCTTTTTGGGGCTCATGAGGTATACCAATGGACTATTTTGAGTTGTACAGTTCATCTTTTCTAAGAGACCCTCCTTTGACGCAGGCTTTTCGTTCAGTTCACTCTCACCTTCTTGCATAGACCCACTTGACCATCTATCTTGGGTTTGCTGTTTTTGTTCCAGCTCTGCATCTTCTCCTTCCTCTCTACAGCTCTCTACATTCTGAAGAAGCCGTGGTCCAGCTGTGCTTTGAGCTGAGGGTGTTTCTTCACCAGCATCTTCTAATTCCTTGTTTGTCAAGGGCTGAGGAAGCAATGGCAAACATACATTGGCCTGCTCTTCTGACCTACTTTCTGGTTCTTCTGTGATGGTGGTCAGAATGTGGTCATCAGTGCTGCCCATGGCATTATAATGAACTGTACAGATCTCAGACTCCTGAAGAAAAGAGGCAGTAACCTGATTTTTGTCTGAAGTTATTTTTGCTTGCCTTGATTTTTCTTTAACTTTTCTCCCAGCACAGCTGCTTGATCTTTTGGTATTGACCACCCTGATTAATTTTTCTGTATTTGTTTTTTTTCTAGACTGGATTTCTGACCCATCTGATTTCTCTCCTTGTGAGCTGATGTGCTGTATTTCATCTGCCTTTTGGAATTCATGAGTTATGCCCAATGAAATAACATTGAGGTCATTGAGTTCCTTGCTGATACCTTCTTGAATCTGTGCCTTTGGTTCCCTCCTTTGCCTTCCAGAGGGTTTAGGACAGGACTGACCAACAGCTTTTGAAATGTCTGAGCTACCAGATTTCTCTTTGATGAAGGACTTTATGCTTTTCTTGGGGAGCACTTTGCTTGTCTTTAATGCTTTTTCCGACAGGGCTGAATTACTGTCGGGCAACAAAACACTATCCTTTTTCTTCTGATGTTTCACAGCTTTGTGTCTCATCAACCCAGTTTTGGATCTAAAAGAAATGGAGCAAATATCACAAATGATCTGCAACCCTTTCCTCTTCTTTGCTTTTGATTGTCCAGTCTTAGAATAATTTCTTAGACTTTGACCCTTGCTATCTTCTTGCTCCATGAAGTTGGAAGACTTCTTCACGTTCTCATTCAGTGCAGAGTCTTCATTCTCCAAATCATTGCTTCTACTCTCTATCTCCTGTAGGTCACTGGAGGATCCCCTTAGTGGAAACTGACTAGTAGCATCAGCGGTTTTAGTCAGAATGACAACTGGCACCTCTTGAACATCAGCATCTTTTTTGATATATCCTGGCTGAGATGGATCTTTACCTCCTTCCTGGGGGTCTCTTTCAATGTCCTTTGCTGATGCTAATGACACATTTTTATTACAGACTGCACCTCTAAGCTCAGCAGAATCAATTCCTGATGGAAGCTGGTTGAGCAAGATATCATGTAGGGATGTTGTCTGAGAACCACTGGGCCCATCCCTCTCGGAGAACATGCCATTGTCTTCATCAACGGGATGCTTGGAGGGCTCTTCAGAATGTTTCTTGCTTTTCAGAGGGAGCATGCTGGGAGATTTGCAGTGATTCATTTGTAAGTTCAAAGGTCTGTCTGTTTTAGCAGAAGAAGGTGCTACTTTGCTGGAGCAGAGAGATGAGGAGTAACGCAGGGGGATACTCTTTTGAGGTTCCATCAAGTCATGGCTGATGTCTTCAGCCAGAGTGCCAGGCATATCGGATGGCAGATGAGATACGGCATCACAGGTGGGAAAGAATGGAAGGGCTCCTTTACGTTCCTTCTGTTCTGATGGGCTCTGCTGAGGAACTGCAGTCTTCTCTGCCACAGAAGGGCAGCTGCACGCAAGGAAGGCAACTTTCTGACTTGCTGCAGTGATCTGGCCGGTACTTTCTTCAGATGGAATCCCTCCAAAGTCAGAGCCTGTGGTATTTCCTGTGTCAGTTTTCAGCACCTTTTTCTGATCAGCAAAGCCAACATCCAGAGAGAAACCAGCCTGAGAGGCTTCTGCATAGTAACTGACTTGCTTCTCTAAGTCATGACCGTCTGCTGAATCTGAGGTATTTCCTGAAGAGAAGTCATTCCTCTGCAGGAGATGAGCACCCTCAGTTTGATTCTCAGGGGAGTAGATGGGAGCCAAAGAGACATTAAGTTGCAGGTGTTTCAGCTGATCGTCACTCTCTTCTACCTGGTGGGCTTTGGCAGTCTCCAACTCTTGGTCCCCACCGCAGGCTTGGTTCCAAGAAGTGCAACAGGCTACATGTACTTGGGGCACAGCTGACAAAGCCCCTTGTGGTGTTTTCTTCTCAGAAGATCCAGGGCTTAATGGGGATTTTCTGCAGTCTCTAAATGCCAAGGTCTTCTCTTCTTGATCTCCCTCTGCCTGTCCTGTAACTTGACTCTGCTGTGTTCTCTTCTCCCTTAGCACCGAGGCTATTTCTGAGTTGCTGAGGGGAGAGAGGTTACTGTGTTCCAGGGAGATACCATCTGCACGTGTAGTATGGCCACTCGCTTCCAAACATTCAACCTTTAAGTGCTGTTGCTGGGCAACATTACCGTATTGTGCTGGGTTCAGCGGGGCCAAGTCTTTTGAAACCTCTGAGGCCCATTCATGCAAATGTTCTGCCTGTTTCTCTGGCTCCACAAGCAGTTTGGTTGGAACCAACTGCTCACCTGCTTTCCCAGTCTTTTTTAACAGAGTCTCTATCTTCTTCTCCAACACGGGGCCGCTGGTCGCTTCTTCGTTCTGCTCTTTGTCCACAGGCCCCTCTTCTGGTTCTGGAGGAATGCTCTGACACGTGGGCAGGTGAGCAACGGGATGCTGAGCTGCGAATGATGAAATCACCAAGTCCTCCTCATTGTTTTTAGCTGTCCTAGCCACAAACAACTGCAACTGCTGCAAAGGATTAGCTGTTTTCTCTTGGGTAGCGGACTTGAACATGACTTCTCCATCCATCTCCTTGGAAAAGGTCAACACATCAAAGTGCGGAGCGTTTCCACTGTCAGCTTTGGCCCTTAGTGTTAAAGCCTGGCTTCCGGTCTCCTCGTTTTTACCTAGGTGCTCATCTTTACTGTTCTGGAACAGGGTTGTGCTTTCTAGCTTTTCAGGTGGGCGATTTTCTGGATTTTTGCTTCGTGCACCAGAAGACACGTTGCCCTCTGATTCTAGAGTGTCAACATCTTGCAAGCCAAATTCTGATTCTAAATGTGGAATCTCACAGCCATATGATTCTAACTCTGTGGTGCCATCAAATGTTTTCTCCTCTGATGGTCGTTTTGGGAACACATCCGGTCTCAGTGGCAAATTCTCATGTGTATTTAACTCACTGTCCTCCAGGGACTTAGGAAAGATGGAATCAGGACTTTGTAGAACATGTTCAGGATAGTCTGGAGCCCCAGTGCTATTTGATAGGTCTTCAAGGCATGAATCGGGCATGATGATTCTAGTAGATGCACCTTTTATTTCCCCAAAGTCAGCTTCAGCAGAGATTTCAATATCCTTCAGATTTTCAACAATTTTGTCTTGGTCCCCTTGGGAGCTAAAAGGACCTACCAGAATCAGATCTGTGGCTGATTGTAATGGGCTGAATGACCCTGCACACGACCAAGCATCATTGGGACTTCCATACTTCGGGTCCAAAGTTGGAAGGAGTGTTTTCTCATTTGCTACATTTTCACAGCTAAATGTTTTTGTGGAAAGAAGGTTTGCATTCTCATACTCAGCCTCCATTAGAAATAACCCTTTTCCATCTTGCTCCTGGTCCAGCCTTAAAGACAAAAACTCATTAGTTGATTCTTTCGCTTCCATGCTGGGGTGATTTACTGAAGCCTGGTCTTCATCAGATGCCTGCATGTTAAGTTTGCTTGCCTGCAACTGACCTTCAAGCTCAGTGACCAACCTTTTAATCTCCAGCTCATCATCGGATAGGCCGCTCATGAAATGCATGTTATAGTCAGAAAGCCGTTCAGAGAGAGACAACGGGTTGATTTCGCTGGAGTACCTCTTCAGTATTGGTTTTTCAACAGACAGTCTATGGATCTGGGGCATATCTTCTGCCAAAACTGGGGATACTTCCTCCATCAGAGTCCAGTCCTTTTCTGATAGAAAAGATGAATACTGCTGGTCAAAGGGGATTATCTTGCTAAGCTGAGGATTGGCGCACTCAAAGGGAATGTAATTATCCTTGCTTGGAGCCACACTATCATATAAGTTGGCATCAAACTCAGCTATAGGGAACTCTCCAAATACTGATGATGAATCAAAATTAAGGGGCGATGAGACCTTACTCTGTGTATTATCCAGTTCACAGGGCATGATGTCATGGTGCTTCTCTTTGAACGAGGGGACATCAAAGTCTCCCTGACACAAGTATACATTTTCATTATGGGAAGGTTCCATGGCTGGAGGCCCGGAGAATAAACTTGGTGTCTCATAGCTGTTGGATAATTCCTTGCAGTCATAAAATGCATTGGCAGCATCCAGAAGTGTATTGACGCCTTTTCCAGATATCCCTACGCTAACAGGATTGTCACTGAAGCAGCTGATTGGCAGGAGGAGTTCCTTCGGTTTCTTCAATCCCTTGATGTCCACTTGTTCATAGCTGGTGCTCTCCTCATTGCAAATGCTGTGCTTGCCTGTGGAAGGGGAGCCAGTGAGTTCTTCCACATGGTTTTTCAAGGTCCCTCCTTTACTGGCAGTGTATTGATGGCAGTGTTGATCCCCTGCCTCATCTGGCTGCCACTCTGCATCTTTTGGCACCACCCTTGGCTTTTCGCTGTTATGACAGAAGGTTCCATTGTACTGGTCAGAATCTTCACGACAAAGACGTATGGTGCGACCTCTTCCAGGTGTGGCCTCATGGTGATGCGGCGTCCCTCTGCTCTGTGGCAAACCTTCATTAATGTCAGTGTCTGGGGGAATGTTTGGATTATCCTTCTCAAACTTCTTGTTATCTGCTGGCTGAGTTTTGGGTGGGTCGACCTTATCTGGCATTCCAGACAAGCCAGAATCCACACTATGGCTTTTTCTTGTGGTCTCTTTCTCAGGAACATTAAGTGGTCCAACACACTTGGAAATTGGCAGGAGTTGTTTTCTCTGTTCACTTTCCCTTTCGGTGTCTGAATCACCCCTCTCGGTGCTCTGGGGGCTGTTGCTGGTTTCACTGGACATGCTCACACTCTGGCAACTGCTTGTGGAAGACTGGCTGCTTCTCCTCCTCACTCTTGCTAGAGTACCATCTTTCCTTTCAAGCTCCTTGCTTGCAGATCTTTTGGGTTCCTCCCGCCCTCTCCTTGGACCGTACCTCCATATCGGCTCCTTCTCCTTCTCCCTTCCTCCTCTTCCTTGGTTCCTTCTGTTTAAACTACTTCTTAGCCGTCCACTGAATCTTGAGCCCAGCTTTCTCCTGCAATGTCGCTTGGCATATTCCACTCTCTCATCATCTGATTCTGAAATGTATTCATACTCACTAAATTTATTGTCCTTGGTTTCTGGAAGCAACTGGTTGGTGAGCAAGGAAAGGGACACAGTTTTGCTATTCTGTGTGTGCAGTTTATGGAGTTTGTTTTTTTGCTGGACAATTTTATGAATAAGCTCCTTGCTCCAACTGCCACTTCGCAGCTTTCTCTTCTTGGCATCTTTCTTAGAGAGCATGCTGCTTTCTGCCACACTGTGGGTACCATCAGGCTTGAGTTCACTCATTGGAGAAGCACAGTTAAGGTTCTTGGTCTGCCTCATATCTGACATTGTTTGGACCCCCTGCTTCGTAGGCAGAAAAGAACTACTGCTATTCTTCTTTCCTATTTTCAGTTGGGTACTTGCATCATCCTCTGTGCCCCCATATATTGTTGGCTCCAGAACCTTATTTCGAGCCAATTCTGTGCTCTTGAATGTTTCAAGCCTTTCTTCTCCAACATCTGAAAGCCAGTTTGATCCTCTCTCTTTAAGTTGCTTTGATGTTCTACTTTTTGCTAGCTCCCCACTAGAGTGCTTGTCACAGCAGTTTAGCGTTTTCATGCTTTCATCCGTACCTACATGTTTGGCTTTCTTCCCTAAAGTCAAGTTCTCTTTTGCTTTGAGAGGTGTCCCAGCACTAGTGACCTTCACAGATGCCAGTTCTTCATCAGCAAACACATCTATGAAGCTGCTGTCAATTTCTGGGTTATCTGACTGGTATCCCAGTCCATTCAGAGCTTCTGTGATCAAACTGTCTAGCTTGGCATCATCTATCTCCAAGTCGGAAGTGCTGAGTGGCAAGAAGTTTCCAGGAAGGCCACTGAGCTGGTTTGCTTTCAGAGGATCATCTTTGGACTCCCCTTTACCCTCTACGTCCACCAGGAAATCAACAGTCTTATTCAAAGCAAGCAGTTGCAAATGCGGATCTGGAGAGAGGAGCATGCCCAGACTAGTTTGTGTGTGCTTTGCAGACTCAGGAGAGGCATGATGCTGCTTCTTGACTTCTGCTCCTCGGGAAGAGTCCTTTGCCTGACCTTGGAGGACCGCATGAGAGCTGCAGAACTGACGGTGCTCCAAGAAGGAGGAAAGGTTGCTGAAGTTCTGATCGCACTGCTTGCAAGTCAGGAAAACATCCAGCTGGTCAAGACTTGTGCTGCTCAGTGAGCTGGCCAGGAAGTGACGGGAGGAATATGGATAAGGTGGTGGAGGCAGCTCACTCTCGAAACCCTCCGGGCACCTTTTGGAGGCATCCATGTTTGATTTTTGGAAATGGCTATCCACAGAGACACCTTTGTAGAGAAGTTCCTGGTGAAAGGCCTTAATAGGATTGGCTATCTGATAGGGGACTGTGCTGGAACCCAGTAGCTCTGAGGCATGGAAGGGTTTACTGCCATCCTTTTGGTGGCCTTGATGGTGGAAGAAGGTGGACGTGGTCAACACAGCTTCATCTTCAAAGCTGTGGCTAGTAGGGCTGCTGGATGTGGGGGAGAGGGAGGAGCAGCTGCTGTTGAGGTTGGGGGCAGGGGATGGCAGAGGAGAGTCATTTGGGGATGGTGCTAAGGCTGAGGGTGGCAATACTAAATTGGGACTGGAAGGGTGGTGAGATGGGATGGGAGGCAGTGCTGGGCTCACGCCGAAGAAGAACGACTTGCTCTTGGACGTCTCCACCTCTTTCGACCCTTCAAAACAGATGTTGTTGGCTGAGCTGCAGCTCTGAGGGGCTGGGTCGTGCCTCTCCTCAGTCGCCAGAGCTTTACTGGGATAGCTGGTGGGGCTGTGGGGCAGTTTCCTGCTTCCGTCCCACTCTGAGGGGCCAAGGGGGAAAGGAAGCTTTCTTGGCAGCTCGATTCTATTCTGACCGGGCACCCCAGAGGTGAGATGCAGATGCTGCCAGGCCTTCTTGACGTGCTGCCTTGGCTCTAACCCCGAATGGTACCCAAACGAGAGCTGACTGCCACCTGGACTGGGGCACCCTGCTGAGCTTTGCTCGGTGGGGGAATAAGTCTTTTTGCCTCCCTCCCAGGCCTGCAGGAGCCGGGGGTGGGCCTGAACGCTGGTGGGAAGGCTCTTCTCGAAAGGCACTGAGCTGGAAGGGATGCCACCAGCCGCGGGTTCGTTGGAAGCCTTGTTCTGAAAGTGCACTTGTGGCAGAGAAACCTGTAGCCCGTTCCTTCTCAGAGAGCTGCCTGCGTCCAGTATCCTTTGACTAGCTATGCTGTCTTTCGACAAAGACGGCCTCTTACCCAACGGCTTTGGCATACCAGAGGCGTGTAAACTGGGTGGGAAAACAGCTTGGTTTTCTTGGAAAGTGCTTGGAACTTGGTCAATAGCACCAGAAGGAGAGATAGCACCATTGTGGTCAGTGGAATGTTCGTTCCTTCCTTTATAGCATGGCAAGTGTCCTGGAGCCTGTGGCAGGAGAAACGGGGCGGGCTGAGGAACCACCCCATAAGTCCTGTTCTCCACATTGTCGTAGGAGCCGTTGCCAAGAACTTCCTCCTTCCAGTCCCTGGAGGAAGAGTGGAAGGCAAAAGCACCATGAGAACCCTGACTGGTAGCCAAGGATACATCGATATAATCTTGGGTGTGAGCCTCACCTTGGAACGGATCTGTGGCTGAGCTGTGCAAAGGTGAGAAGGGGTACTGAAAGGACAGAGGTCCCAGGCAATGGGTGCTCGGCTTGGGAGCAGGGAGTCCATTGCTAGCACCAGGATAGCCTTTGTCTGGTGAAGGCCACAAGTTACTCCCATTGGCTTGGAACTCCAAGTAAGAGAACTGCCCTTTGGCGCCAGGATTTTCATGAGGAACATTAACCAGTGGTTGTATCTTTGAACCATGGTTTGGACATGCAGTGGCGGCTTGTGAGGTATAATTGCTGGAGATGTGGCTGGAGGCAGCCTCTGAGAAACACCGGGCAAAGCTCAGCTCTTCTTCTTGGAGTTTCAGCTCTCTTTCGGGGACATGGAACCTGTAGCTTCCCAAGACCGGTCCTCGGTCAGCTTCAACCTTCTTGGGTGGGGTGATTTTCTGCTGGGGGTAAGCAATGCCAATGGTAGGGTTGGGCCTGGCATTGCTGATGGTGAGCCGGTAGAGCTGTTGATGGCCCCGCTCGCTCTTCCCCGAGCGTCTGCTGCTCTTATCTCTTGCACGGCTCCTTCCAGGGGGAGACGGGGGGGTTCCTTTGGCAGTGCCCCACGGGCTGGCACTGGGAAACCTGGGGCGGTTGTTGAGGGACTTGAAGTCTATTTTGCCTGCTTTCTGGGGGCGGATCACAGCTTCCCGTTGATTGTGAGGCTCTTTGTCCTTGTGGCTGACAAAGTCAGTCCCGTTATCGCTCCCACTCTGTACCTGTGACTCGGAGCTGTCAAGCAGTCGACTTTCAACTTCACCCACATCTTTCTTGCTGAACGGCTCAAAGCTGAGAACTTTGTCCTGGGCACCAGACTCAATATCACGGGTGGCATAAACATGCTGGGTTTCTCCCATTATGTCATGAAGGACCAGATTTAATAAGAGCCTGCTTCCTTCAGCTTCTCAGCATAAGGATTCTCCATTCCTAGCATTGTCCTTCGTTCTCCAGAGGCTGGGAGGCAACTCAGCCTCTTGGACAGCTCCTATTTCCATTCTGGCTGCAGGGTAGGATCTGCGGAGGAGACGCAGGGAGGGTTCATCACATCACTCCATCTGAGACCTGGAAGAGAGAAGGTCCATGTGAGACCTGGGTTTTCAGAAGGTCTGTGGTCATATACAATTTTGGATTCACACTCCTCAGATATTGTTCAAAGGTTAAGGACTATTTTCTTCTTGATTTTTGGATAAAGAACTAAGGCAAAGGTTTACAGACACTTGGGCTATGTTTACACAATCTGCTGAGCCACCATGTTGGTCAGAGGGCTTTGGACATAGGGTGATATGCAAACCTTTGTCAATCAGGACTCGCAGCTTAGCCTATTGTGCAAATCCATGAAATTGTGGTTTATCCAATGAACCATGGTTAGGTAAACTATGGCTTAGCGTGCCCTAACTAAAGAGAGTGAAATAGAGCTATAAAAAGTCATGTTGAAACAAATACTTTAAAAGAGGAGCAAAGGGACTGAGCTCCAGGCTTAAGAGAGAGGCCACTGGGAAAATAGGGGGAAGCTGGCCCTCTCTTCGCCTTGAAAGATATTTCTCCTGGCAGCAGCAGATGACAGGCAAGTCCCACCGGCAGGCTTACTGTTAGGCGGAATCTCAATCTCGCAGCTTTGGTTTCCTAAGCCCGGCTCTGTGGATTTCTATCTCCCCTTCTCCCCCTTCCAACCCAAGTCTTCTGCCTGGAATGCTCATCCTTTCATTTCTGGAGTTGGCACTCCTGTATTTTCCATGCACTTGATGGTTGACGGTTGGATGGCAGTACGGAGCGGCCACCTTGAGATTGAGTGACGCGATAGGAATGGAGGAGGTTGGGCTTGATACGAGGGCTGTGTCATGTCCCGGCGTCTGGGAAATTGTCCACCTTACGCATTCATGAAAAGGAATGTAGGAGAAAGAAAGACTCAAAGCAAGAGGAGAACATTTCTCCCTGAGGGGCCCAAGGGAAGAACTGTTCATGTCTCTCTGGTCTTCCCTGCCAGCAATTAACTTAACTCTATTAAAAAATAAGTCTGCAATTCTCAGAGGGTTGAAAAGCATGGGAGCTCTTTATTTCTCACTTCCTCTCTCTCTCTCAAATCATCTTCTAGGCCCCTTTGAGAATGCATCACTCCTCAGTTACTTTTTCTAAACATTTCCAAATTTAGAGGCTGCCCAATTCCTTAACGACTCTGGGCAGCTTACAAATAAAAACGAAAAACAACATACAGAGATGCAAGTGAAAAAAAATCCTGGCCAAGCGGAAAAAGGATGCTCCAGGCCATTCAGCAGATTGCAAGGAAAAGCCAACCACCCTGTCCCAAGGCCGGGTCTCCAGGTTTCTTCTAAATGTCACACGGGTGGGAGCCAGGTGCATCTCGGGAGGGACTACAGGTCTATCTCAAGATCACACCTCGGAGCATCTGAACGCCTCTCCTTCCCCACCCCTGCCAGCCCTGAAAGATGGAAGCCCACGGAGCTCCCTCCAGGTTCGAATGGAACCTGGCCAGCCTCTTCATCCACCTTGGCACCCCGTGTTTGGCGCTTTGCAGAAATCAAGGTGGCTGCTAAAATGGGGAGGAAACTGCCAGGGCACCCCCTTTGCTCACAGTTGAAAGGAACAGTGAAAAGGTAACAACAGGAAAGAAGGATACTCCACACACTGGGTGGCAGGATTTCCCACCAGGAGAAGACGACCAGGTCTATGGAGCTCCGGCATTCAGATGGAAAACTGACCCCCCAGGGATTCGGACTGCAATGCAGCCGGGCCAGAAGGAAATGGAGTCATCTGCCAGACAGGATGAAGTCCCAGGGGCCCAGGGCTGATCTCGGGGTGCACAAATGCTGCTTGTGGACCCGCCCTCGGGATCTGGGGCTGAGTTTGCTTTAGAGGAGTAGGAAAGAGGGCTGGACTAGCTTGGCTGTAATCCCCTGCTTTTCAAAAGCCCAGATGCCACCCCCAGTCCCCTGTCTAGATTTGATGCATCATTCCGAGGAGCATTTCTAGGCAGAGTAAAATCTTTGTCCCACCCCTCAGTTTGAGGTTCAGAGGAAAGGTCTGGGGTGTTTGAAATATCTGACCGGACTGACGAGCAACGCAGTGGGCCAGGAGGCCAGATCTCATCTCCACGTCTCTTCCTTCTTGTCACAGCTGGAATCTACAATGGGGCAGAAACGACAGGCTGAGCATTGGCCCCTGTTCCTTGACCTGCCCTGCCTGCCGGACCAGCCTCTGGGGCTTCATACTCGCTTGCCCAAACGAGGGGAGGGAGGCAGTGGAGAAAGACCCCTTGCTCCTCCTCCCCATTAGCCAGGGCTGATGCTACCACCGTCAGCATTCAAAACGATGGACTGTTTATGCACCAGTGGGGACTGTAACAGTTCGCCTGCTCGCTGCTGTTTAAATTAAAATTAAATTTAAATTTGCAGAGACACTCCTGGCCATGATTCACCAGCTGAGGCCAGAAGGGGCTACTTTATCACAGCTGGGCGTATCAAGCTGCATAGAGGAGACAGTATGGAAATTATATATATGATATATTTGATCAAGCTGCATAGAGGAGACATTCTGGAAATTACATACACTGTATATATACATATATATATAGTGTTGGTATCCAAGAAACATACAACAGTTACATCACAGACTGTTGCATTAGTGCAGGAACCAAAACAAATATCTGCTTGGCTTCTGATGCAGGCAGCGGAGTCCAAAAACTGTCCGAAATGGGAGTAGGGCTGAAATAAGCACAGACAGTAAACAGGAAAAAGGTCCCAGAAATTTAAAAAGAAAAAACAAAAAGCCACCAAAAACAGAGATGTTGAAGCCAAGCACAGGAAACTGCTTTGAACTAAGGCAGGCTTCTTGTCCATCTGCGTCCAGCAGTGCCCACTCGGGCTGGCCACAGCTTCTAGCACCCCCGAAGGTCTTCCTGGCTCCTGCAAGGAACGACTCTCCCTTGATTTCATACAGACCCCTGCAGACGAAGCAGGGGCTTTGCCTTCCGCTGCACAGCTTCCCTCTCCTAGTCCCAAAAGGCCTGCACAACAGTTGATTTTCAGCATAGATCCCCATGAACTTCTGGGCCCAACTTGCTCAGATCTGTGATCCAGCTCCCGGAAGCATCCATTGCAGGCAACGTTCAAAGCAACCGAAAACCAAACCGGTCTTGCTGTTCAGTTTCATGCCTCAGGCTAAGCCAGGGATGGGTGATCTGTAGCTTCCTGAATCACCCCCCAAAGGCAAGGTTGGACAGCATCCCAAATCAAAGTCATCACGTTTGGGCTTAGTGCAATGTGTGAACCAGATCACAGACGGACAGGGATGCAAGCCTCTCTGGGCCAGGAGTCTCCTAAGCGTAACTCAGCCAGATGTCTGGAAGGATGTCTGAAGTACCCAAACATCCAAGCTCCTGCCCTTGGCCAGGGCATCAGGGAGAGGCAGCTACAATCTCTGGAGGGCATTCGGGACTGGCTCAGAAGAGGGAGACCCCTCGCCCTCCCTCCGCTTGCTTACCCAAGGAAAGCTACCGGAGGGGTAAGAGAACCCCTCTTTCCTTCCTTCCTTCCTTCCTTCCACCGCAAATCCATTCTAACCGCTTTCCCTGCCAGGGTGGGTGGGGGTGGAGAAGCCATCCCCTTCCATCTGGTGCGGGATGCATTGCTAGAAAAGCAGGCACTGGCTCATCAAGACGTAAATTATATCCAGGCAGGTTAAACAGAAGCTTTTGGACTCCAAATTTTGGCTTAAGGTTATGAAAAATTGCTTCCTCTCTTATAAAGTGCCTTTCCCAACCCTTCTTCGGTGTCTAGACAGCTCAAACATTCAGTTTCTTCTTTAAAAGGCCCTGGAGGGTTGTTGTCATTTTTTAATTTGCAAAAAAAAAAAGGGGGGGGGAGGAAAAAAATCTTTCCAGGCAGCTGGCGAGGTGGATTAATGCAGCCGAGATGCAGGATGGCTAGGGTGAAGTCTTTACTCAGAGAAGGTGAAAATATGGGGGTGGCAGGAGCACGGCTTCATTCTTGGGGAAGAAAAAAAATACGCCTCTGTGGCAAGGAACCCCCCCCCCCCCCACAAGCTCCTCCTGGTCAACTGGCGATACCTTGGAAGACTTTGGTTCCTCAGCTTTTGCAGACTCCTCTCAGCTTCACTTCCCGTCAAAGACAAAGTTCTTGGCTGCAAGGAAGGTGAAAAATATGTCAGGAATTTTTGTTTGGCTTGGCCACAGCTACAGCCACAGATCACAGCCTCCTTTGAGCCCCGAAGACGGTGCGGGATGTGGAGAGTCTGTTCTCTCATAGCTGTGCAGCTGGACGTGCTGGAAAAGGCAGGCACAGGATGACCCCGGAGCTTTGGCTAGGCTGTCGGTTGAATTTGCAAGTGGTGCTGCAGACGAGCTGGCAAGGCTGGTCGCAGCCACAGAGAAGGGCATTTCAAGGCAGAGGGAGGGAGGGGCCCAAAGCCCCCTCGTGGCACTGCCAGGCTCTTGGTCCCCACCCCAACATTGTTCTTCAATACATTTTCCATTTATATATGTGCCATCAAGTCAGGATCAACTCTTAGCAACCACAAAGGTAGATATTTTCTCCAAGAGATAGATAGATAGATACAGATGATAGACAGACAGACAGACAGAGCAAAAACTCAATCCAGGGGTGTCTAGAGGGTGTGGTCAAGATGGTGCGACTGAAGCTGTGCCTGGCTTTGAAGTGTGCCTGTGGTCACCATCTTGACTTTTTGACCACACCCCGGCACCATTTTTATTTATGCAATGTCTCCAGTAGCCTCATGGACCTCTGAAGAATTTATGAAAATAAAATGGATGAGCGGCTGCAGACCAGAGCTCTACCTGGAAGGATGACCACCTGCCCAGGTAAAAGGCAAAAGGAAGGAGGAGAGGCTAAAGGGGCTTGTGGGCAGTTGGCCAGTTGGCCCCTTCCCCATGACAGCCATTTTGTGAAAGTTCCCACAATCTGCTCTCCACATTTCCAGATGTGTCCACGTTGTCTACATCAGTGTTTCTCAACCTTGGCAAGTTTAAGATGTGTGGACCTCAACTCCCAGAATTCCCCAGCCAGCATGGGGGAATTGAGGGAGTTGAGGTCCACACATCTTAAACTTGCTAAGGCTGAAAAACAGTGGTCTACACTGTAAGAGCACATTGGTTTCCACAGCGTCTGGGGATGTTGTAGCTCACATTTCAGCTCTGTCTATAGATGGGAAAAGGCTATTCGTAACCATGAACACTTCTGCCGTAATAAATACATTAATATGTATGCATTTATGCATATATGTGGCCACCCCACTCAGACCATGGGACTCAGGGGAGTGTACCAATTGCAGGTCTCTTTTAGTGCCAACTAACACGGCGATCTCAAATAATAATAATAGGTCATCATGGCTGATCTAGAAGCCCTCAGTGGGTCTTTTGCACAAAACCATACAGGGAGAGAAGAGGCCCAAAGGCAAATATTCCTCAGCATCGTCTCCTAAACTTGGGATCTACGCGGCTCCCCCATTGCCACATGCACCTTCCTCGTAAGCATAATTGTCACTCATTGGGTTCTGCTCAAAGCATTTGAATGCGCAAAGCGTTTTCCGCCCAAATGGCGAGCTCAACATGACGCAGGAGAAGCACAGCCCCTTTGTGGGACTGTCTTGTCACAGGATGATGGTGGAGCTCCAAGGCACCGCAGGGACCATCTCGTCCAACCCGCTGCAATGTGCAGGAGATCCTACTGACCATCCTCAAGCAGTGGCCGTCGATCCCCTTCTTCAAAACTTCCAGAGATGGAGATCCCCCAACCTCTGTAAGCAGACAGTTCCTCTCTTGTACGGATCCTACCCTCAAGGCATTTTCCTTTACATTTAAGGAGCATCTAGGTAGCGGCAACTTATTACTTCCTAACCCAGCTTCTGAGGCCACAAAAGAGAGCTTCTGGCCATCTTTTCTACGGCCCCCTTTTACGTACCTTAATGCTGGTATTCAGTGAATTATTTTGGCATTTATTTACGGAAAAATTATCCCTCATTTTGCTTCTAAAGCCTGCCATTTGCTAAGGAATTATCTGTTACCGAAGTGCACTGATAAATCTCGCAAGGTAAGAGTATATCTCAGGGGCCGCCAGAAAAGTCACGTTTCAGAATACCTCCTTCATAATCAGCAGCGTTCATCTTAATTTCTTCAGCAAAAGCTGGATCTGGAGGTAGGATGCGCTCAGCGGAATGGGAGCCTGCCGTTATCCCATCGCAGGTTTCAGACTGTTCTGAGAGATCAGGGTTTCGGACCAGCGGGGAAGGGCAAACTTCAAGGCAAGCCCAAGATCTGGACACAAGGAGGCACGAGGTGCTGACGGGGGCAGAGCCCTCCCCACAGTGGGGCCAATGAGCCTCAGGGGCAAATGTCCACACACTCATGACGTTCAATGGCAGCAGTCACCACTTCTCCCCACTGGCCCGCCTCATAGGATGGTTGTGCACATTGAATTGACATCAGCTCTAGATTCTCTTTTTTGAGTGCATGTTACTCTATGTTATAGGTAGTCCTCGTTTAGCGACCCCAACTGGGACTGGCAACTGGGGCGTTAAGTGAAGTAGTTGCTGAGTGAAACCGCGACTGTGCTTACGATCTTCCTTCAGCTTTCCTTTGCTTTACAGACCTGCAAAGGTGGTCAATGCGAGGACTGGTGGCAAAGTTACTTTTTCATCACCGTCGTAACTGCAAATGGTTGCTAAACAAGGCAGTTGCTAAACGAGGACGACCTGTATATTGCCATTTGTCTTCAACTGCTGTAACTGCTAACAGCTGGATTACAGCAGATCTTTTTCCTAGAGGAATGTGGATTGTTATTATGGCTTGTGCATTTAGTAAACTACCTTTAAAGGAAGTGTTCAGTCACGAAACTCTAACCTGATTGATTCCAGCATTGCTAGTTTCGTCATAATATTTTATTCTATTTTGGGGGGCAGGTGGAATTAAAAAAAAATTGCTGGAATACTTGGTTTTTCTTCTTGCATGCATCTTTCCTTATTTATATACGCTATTTTGTATTCCATTTTTCTTAATGCACGCTTTTGGTTTTACTGCAATATATACCAAAAATAGGCCAGTCTCCAATACGTTTGATTAATTAATATATTTTTTTCAGAGACAGTATCACTGTACTTAGGAATATTCAGAGGTCATGCATCAAAGGAGTAAGGAAGGGCTTAGAAGAAAATAGCCACCAATTTCAACATTTAATGTAATTTATATGCTGAATTGTCTACGGTTTTTGGTACTCCCTTTTTAAACGTACACCGACACGTACACGTGCTGTGTATCTCTCTCTCCTTTTTATATTCCCTTCTGGGAAGAGCTGTTTCCCCCAAACCGACCCCTTTTGGTATCTTTTGAATGAAGCTTGCCGGATGCTGACACCGACCGCTGACTGAGCCCTTCGGCCGATGGCGTCACTTCTTCCAGACCGCAGCCAGCCACGGACATTTTCTCTGCTTTCTCTTGATCGATCTGCCACCTGCCTCTTCAGCTCAAGCGTCCGTCCCACGACTTCTCCGTCCACGACATGCAGGTTGGAGATGATGGGAGTTGTAATCCAACACAGCTAGAGGATATGATGAAAACTGCAGGGACTAGTCCACACAGTCGCCAGGAGTCAACAATGACTTAAAGGCCCACACACAAAGAGGATATGATGCACGTCCCAAAGATGCACACAAACAATAACTGTTGCTAACTGTCCGGCTAAACTGAAGGAGGAAATAAATATAATTGAGTGAGATAAGGATCCACGTCTGGGGCTGCGCTTGGATTCTGGAGCTGCTTATTGAAGAAGCTGGGTTTTGCTTCCTCCTTAATCTTCAAGATGACAGCCTGGCATCCATGTTTCTGGGCAGCTACAAGAAGTGGCGTCCAAAGGATGTTCTTTATGTCTTGGAAAGCACAGGTACACTGCTTCAGGACAGGGATGTTCCACTGCTGGTGATCCCAGGAAGTCCTGACTTTTAGAACCATACAGGAGGCCAAGACTCGGCAGGTTTGTTGCACAAAATGGAGGCCAGGCTCTGAGGCCAACAGACCTTTCATTACTGTTCTGAGTTGCCCAGAGTTGTGTTTTTCCAAGGCTATATAAGTCTTTTGAATAAACAAACGAACACCAAAATCTGTTTGGAGGAGAATTTTTACCGAGTTTGAGAAGAAGGAAGCTTTGAAACCGTCCGTTTCAATACAAACTGTGTTGAAAGTCAGAACTGGCTTCTAAAAAACAAGATTAATTGACATTGCTACGGTGGGCTAGTTGCCCCATTAATTATTCTAACCCGGTGTTTCTCAGTCTTGGCAACTTTAAGATGTGTGGACTTCAACTCCCAGAATGGCTGGCTGGGGAATTCTGGGGGTTGAAGTCCACACATCTTAAAGTTGCCAAGGTTGAGAAACACTGTTCTAATCCATACATCTCCTAACTTCCAATTTCAAAATCTATTTTATTTACAACAGAAGAGGGAGTTCCCCATCAAATCAAAGAGCAAATGCTGCTGAATTCACACCAGCTTTCTTCCCCCCTCTATCCCTC